CCGGTGCTCATTAAATCATTTCTCTTTATATCAAAGACATGCAGGCTTTAAATGTCTTGTATACATCACAATCTCTAAAACATAAGAGTTGATTAACAACAAACATTTCTCGTCTACAAAGGTAATTTTCTTCTAATTTTGTCATAAAAGAACATTGGTAAAGCTGTATTTAACTGAACAAGTATACCAGTTCATCAATCCTCTATTGCCATGGGTCTCATGTTTTCAAGGTGTTCTCGTTCAGAAAAAGAGCATTTGCTACAAGCATGACATAAACATCAGGAAGAGGAGAAAGTTTTCGACAGTAGACAACCTATCTAAATCCTTATCTTCTACATTCTAATCCTATTAAACAGGATTGCTATACTACCATCTAATTCAATTATGCTTCACTCAGTAGGCCCCATATCAGTAACAAAATTTGCAATCACACTAGCAACAATCTAAATTTCCAATTACAAAGACTAGTAAATCTTGCACCACTTCCAGCACCAACTGCTAGTGATAACAGGTTATATGTCACGTAGGAGCAACCAAAAGTTCCCCCTATAGCACAAATAAACAAATAATATCATTGCCCATTTTATCGTAGACCTTTCGCATATCACACAATCTTAGAAAAATAAAGGTATCTATATTTGTTCATTGCAATCACAAATTTTAATTAGACAGAATGACAATGCAAACTACCAAATGTGTTTCATATATAAATTCCTATTCATGGTGCAAGTTTGAAATTAAGTACAGCAATTCTTTCCTCATCAGAATCAATATAAGTTCTGTAGAAAGTTATTTTCTCTCATATCAGTAGTTGAAAGTAAAATATTGTTTGGAGAAATTTATAAATTGGTAATTTATAATTTGATGGAAAGAAGTGGTGGAGATTTTGTGGGTTTCACTAAATATGTAGATAATAAGTGGTAGTAGTTATGAGTCCTACGAAATATAAGGTTAAAATCGATTCAAATTATAAATTGTGAATTTATAAATTCTTCCAAACAAGCTTTAATAATGCTAAAAATACCGAAAAAAATCGATCCAGTGGGCTATGGCACCAAAAAGGCAAAATTCAAGTCACTAGATGTTGCAAACTTTTGCAAAATATATTAAACATACCCTAGTTGTGAAAGCGAACGGTTAATATTCCCCGCTTCCTTCAAACGGTCTCCAGCTGCACCTGTATGCATTTGTCTTTCAGATCCAGCCAGATCAACAAAATTTATTCTACTCATCTTCAAGCAGCTAACCCCACCATCAACCGTTCTCTGTGATATACATTTAGGTAATGAGCCTTTAGCAGAGAAGGTTGCAAAATTGCATGTGATAGAAATCAACTAAACACACAACAGCTCCACACGCACACAACAAATAGATGGGAGGATGCATTCAAGCACCAACTAACTTGTGCTGTGTGTTACCTAATTGCAAAAAAACTCAACAAGTGACGAAGAATGGATCATAGTCAATCTTAATCAATGATTCTATTACCTTGCTTCGCGATTCAATAACAGAAGTGAAGACGCTGTGGGAACGAGAACTTTCAGCATTTGCGCTTGTTGAACCAGTTCTCCGGTTGGACAATCCCTGCACAATTTACGTAGCGTCTATATGTACAATCTCCGAAAGTTAATAAGATACTGAAATATTACCTAAAAATCCCGAGCAAGATGACTACCTAAAATTAAAAGTGAGAGACAACATAACACAGCTGGCCAAAATTCACTTCTCGATTGCAACTTAAGGCTAAAAACTTGTTTGGAGAAATATATAAATTGAATCAATTTTAATAACACGTTTCATAGCACCCCCAACTACTATCCAATTATTATCTACATATTTTGTGAGAACTACAAAATCTACACTACTTTTCATCAATTTATAAATTTTTCAAACAAGCTTTAAGGTTATAGACCATTCCTACACATATGGCTTTGTGTTAGGAAAATGAGTTGAATATATATTTGTCCGGGATGTCTGCTTGGAACATGCCAATAAACGACTATAAATGTAGTTTGAAATGCTTAAACTGGTCTTAATACTAGTTGAGGGATAGATCTTTGGTAAACTGAGGAATCAGCCTCTCTTCTCTTGAGCGTTTATGTTCTCTTCTCCCTATATAAAATAAGGGAAGTGCTACAAGTACATTAGGGGTGCCATAATGGTGTCCATAATGGACACATGGCACCCCACCATTGGAGAGTGTGTTGGCCCACCAACACACTCTCCAATGGTGGG